GTATATTCTGTCGTTTTGGATGGAATGTCTTATAAATATCAATTAAGTCCATCTTGTTTAATGTATCATTTAAAGCTTGTGTTTCCTTAGTTATTTTCATTTTGGGTGCTCTTTCCATTGGTGAAAGTTGGGTGTTACAGTCCCCTACTGTGATTGTGTTACTGTCGATTTCCCGTTTTATGGCTGTTACTATTTGCCTTATGTATTGTGGTGCTCCTATGTTGGCTGCATAAATATTTACAATTGTTATGTCTCCTTCTAGGACAGATCCCTTGATCATTATGTAGTGTCCTTCTTTGTCTCCTGTAAGAGTCTTTATTTCAAAGTCTATTTTGTCTGATATGAGAATTGCTACTCCAGCTTTCTTTTGATTTCCACTTGCATGTAATATCTTTTTCCATCCCCTCACTTTCAGTCTGTATGTGTCCCTAGGTCTGAAGTGAGTCTCTTGTAGACAGCATATTTATGGGTCTTGTTTTTGTATCCATTTAGTCAGTCTGTGTCTTTTGGTAGGAGCATTTAATCCATTTACATTTAAGGTAATTATCGATATGTATGTTCCTATTCCCATTTTCTCAATTGTTTTGGGTTTGTTTTTGTAGATCTTTTCCTTCTCTTGTGTTTCATGCCTAGAGAAGTTCCTTTAGCATTTGTTGTAAAGCTGGTTAGGTGGTCCTGAACTCTCTCAGCTTTTGCTTGTCTGTAAAGCTTTTAATTTCTCCATCAAATCTGAATGAGTTCCTTTCTGGGTAGAGTAATCTTGGGTGTAGGTTTTTCTCCTTCATCACTTTAAATATATCCTGCCAGTCCCTTCTGGCTTGCAGAGTTTCTGCTGAAAGATCAGCTGTTAGCCTTATGGGGATTCCCTTCTGTGTTATTTGTTGTTTTCTCCTTGCTGCTTTTAATATGTTTTCTTTGTATTTAATTTTTGATAGTTTGATTAATATGAGTCTTGGCATGTTTCTCCTTGGATTTATCCTGTATGGAACTCTCTGTGCTTCCTGGACTTGATTAACTATTTCCTTTCCCATATTAGTGAAGTTTTCAACTATAATCTCTTCAAATATTTTCTCAGTCACTTTCTTTTTCTTTTCTTCTCCTGGGACCCCTATAATTCGAATGTTGGTGTGTTGAATGTTGTCCCAGAGGTCTCTGAGACTGTCCTCAGTTCTTTTCATTCTTTTTTCTTTTTCTTTTTTCTTTTTTTTTTGCAGCACGCGGGCCCTTCACTGCCGTGGCCTCTCCCGCTGCAGAGAACAGGCTCTGGACGCGCAGGCCCAGCAGCCATGGCTCAAGGGCCCAGCCGCTCCACAGCACGTGGGATCCTCCCAGACTGGGGCACAAACCTGCGCCCCCTGCGCCGCAGGCGGACTCTCAACCACCGCGCCCCCAGGGAAGCCCCTCTTTTTTCTTTATTGTGCTCGGCAGTAGTTATTTCCACTATTTTATCTTCCAGATCACTTATCCTTTCTTCTGCCTCAGTTATTCTGCTATTAATCCCTCCTAGAGTTTTTTTACTTTCATTTATTGTGTTGGTCATTGTTGCTTGTTTCCTCTTTAGTTCTTCTCGGTCCTTGTTAAATGTTTCTTGCATTTGCTCTATTCTATTTCCAAGATTTTGGATCATCTTTGCGATCATTATTCTGAATTCTTTTTCAGGTAGACTGACTATTTCCTCTTCATTTGTTAGTTCTGCTGGGTTCTTACCTTGCTCCTTCATCTGCTGTGTGTTTCTCTGTCTTCTCATTTTGCTTATCTTACTGTGTTTGGGGTCTCCTTTTTGAAGGCTGCAGGTTGATAGTTCCTGTTGTTTTTGTTGTCTGTCCCCAGTGGCTAAGGTTGCTTCAGTGGGTTGTGTAGGTTTTCTGGTGGAGAGGACTAGTGTCTGTGTTCTGGTGGATGAGGCTGGATCTTGTCTTTCTAGTGGCAGGTCCATGTCTGGTGCTGTGTTTTGCTGTGTCTGTGGCCTTAGTATGATTTTAGGCAGCCTCTCTTCTAATGTGGGGCGGGGGCTTGTGTTCCTGTCTTGCTAGTTGTTTGGCATAGGGTGTACAGCACTGTAGCTTGCTGGTCGTTGAGTGAAGCTGGGTGCTGGTATTGAGATGGAGATCTCTGGGAGATTTTTGCTGTTTGCTATTACGTGGAACTGGGAGGTCTCTTGTTGACCAGTGTCCTGAAGTTGGCTTTCCCACCTCAGAGGCACAGCTCTGCCTCCTGGCTGGAGCACCAAGAGCCTTTCATCCACACAGCTCAGAGTAAAAGGGAGAAAAAATAGAAAGAAAGGAAGAAAGGATAAAATAAAAGAAAGTAAGATAAAATAAAATAAAGTTATTAAAATAAAAAATAATTATTAAGAAAATAAAATTTTTTGAGGTTAAAAACTCGATGTACAGAACCGTAGGACTTATGGTGAAAGCAAAGCTATACAGACAAAATCTCACACAGAAGCATACACATAGACACTCACAAAAAGAGGAAATGGCGAAAAAAAATCTATCTTCCTTCCAAAGTCCACCTCCTCACTTTGGGATGATTCGTTGTCTATTCAGATATTCCACAGATGCAGGGTACATCAAGTTGATTGTGGATCTTTAGTGCGCTGCTCCTGAGGCTGCTGGGAGAGATTTCCCTTTCTCCTCTTTGTTCACACAGCTCCTGGGGCTCAGCTTTGGAATTGGCCCCGCCTCTGTGTGTAGGTCGCCTGAGGGTGTCTGATCTTCGCTCAGACAGGACGGGGTTAAAGGAGCCGCTGATTCGGGAACTCTGGCTCACTCAGGCCGCGGGGAATGAGGGGCACGATGCGGGGTGAGCCTGCAGCGCCAGAGGCAGGCAGGATGTTGCACCAGCCTGAAGAGCGCCGTGCGTTCTCCCGGGCAAGTTGTCCCTGGATCACGGAACCCTGGCAGTGGTGGGCTGCACAGGCTCGCGGGAGGGGAGGTGTGGAGAGTGACCTGTGCTTGCACACAGAGGCTTCTTGGTGGCGGAGGCAGCAGCTTTAGTGCCACGTGCCCGTCTCTGGGGTCTGGGCTGCTAGCCGCGGCTCTCGCCCGTCTCTGGAGCTCCTTTAAGCAGCGCTCTTTATCCCCTCTCCTCGTGCACCAGGAAACAAAGAGGGAAGAAAAAGTCTCTTGCCTCTTCGGCAGCTCCAGACGTTTTCCGGGACTCCCTCCCGGCCAGCCGTGGCGCACTAACCCCTTCAGGCTGTGTTCACGCCACCAGCCGCAGTCCTCTCCCTGCGCCCGAGCCTCAGCTCCCAGCCCCGCCCGTCCCCGCGTGTGAGCAGACAAGCCTCTCGGGCTGGTGAGTGCCGGTCGGCACCGATCCTCTGTGCGGGGATCTCTCTGCTTTGCCCTCCGCACCCGTGTTGCTGCGCTCTCCTCCGAGGCTCCGAAGCTTCCCCCCTCTGCCACCCGCAGTCTCCGCCCGCACAGGGGCTTCTAGTGTGTGGAAACCTTTACTCCTTCACAGCTCCCTCCCACTGATGCAGGTCCCTTCCCTATCCTTTTATCTCTGTTTTTTCTTTTTTCTTTTGCCCTACGCAGGTACGTGAGGAGTTGCCTTTTGGGAGGTCTGAGGTCTTCTGCCAGAGATCAGTGGGTGTTCTATAGGAGCGGTTCCGTGTGTAGATGTATTTCTGATGTATCTGTGGGGAGGAAGGTGATCTCCGCGTCTTACTCTTCCGCCATCTTCCCTCGTAGATCTTTTTTTTAGTGTCCGTCACTAATTTTGGAAGAGTCTCTCAAATGATTTCTTTAAAAGTTTCTTTTGCTCTGTTATACCTTTATTTTCCTTCTGGAAATCTAATTACACAGATGCTAAACAATGTTAAACAGCATTTAATGTTGTCCTTCTGCTCTTTGATGCTCTGTTCTAATTTTTTACTCTTTGTTTTTCTTCTTTGTGTTAGTTTTAGTATTCTACATTGACCTACCATTATGGTCACTGATACTTTTCTTTCTTGTATTGCATCTACTCCTGAACGTAAACACAAAATTCTCTGCATATATTATATCTAGCCTATCTGATTGTCTTATAGTTTACATCCCTCTCCTGAAATTACCTATCTTGCATGTTGTCTACATTTTTTTATAAAAGCCTTTAACATACTAATCACAGTTACTTTAAATTCTTTGTCTGATGGTTCTAACGACTGTGTTGTATCTAAGTCTGGTTCTGATGACGGCTTTGTCTGTTCAGACTACATTTTTCTTTCCTTATGATATGCCTCATAATTTTTGTTGAACCCCTGACGTATCACATATGACAGTAGATACTGTGCTAAGTTCTTTTTTTAATGTGGTAGTGAGGACAAACTTTCTTCTGTTAGGTCTTTAGTATAGGTATTTGTATTAATTTAGTCAGAAATTGGCGTCTCCAGAATTAGGTAACTATTGTTCAATGTCATTGTTAAGAACCCAGTTTCTTTCCATCTTTTTTGTTATCTTTACACTATTGTCTTTTCTCATTAGGCTAGTTCACGTTGTGACCACAAGATGGCTATGCAAATGGGTATTGTATCCAAACAATGTCCAGAAACAGAAAAAGCAGGGTTTATTTTTATAATTCCACGCATCTCTTCTGAAGCAAGAAGATCTTTTCTGGAATTGTTCTAGGAGTCTTAGTTTCTTATTTCATTGGCCAGAATTGGAACAAATACCCTGTGCTAACCAATCAGAGAGAGGAAAAAGGGGGAAAATTGTGATAGTTTTGGACACAATATGACCCACTGCCTATGAATGAGCCCAGAACCTCTGATTTCTTTGTCTTTGAAAGAGAGAGGATATATGTGAAGAATCCTGGATTTCTAATAGGGAAATGAGAAGTAGTGCTGGAGGCCAAAGCATTTTACCAGTCTGTAGGACTCTCTTTGTGCCTTGCCATCCTATTCAAAACATGGCCTGTCCTCCTACAGTACATATGTGTATTAGTGAGAGAAGGCTCAAAGCTCAACTCACATGCCAAGGGTAAAGAATGTCCTTTCCTTTTATTTTCTCAGAAACATGGAATCTGCTTTCATGCAGTGTTTCCCCAGTGAGTTTATCTGCTCCATCTGCAAGGACAGTTTCACAGACCCTGTCACCATTAGCTGTGGGCACAGATTTTGTACTCCTTGCCTCTGGCTCTTGTGGGAAGATGTCCAAACAGCTCCTTGCTGTCCTGTGTGCAAGGCCGTATCTCCGAAAATGGACTTCAAAAGCACTATTTTTGCTAAGGAACATGTTCTTTCTACCAGAGGATCAGTTGTCGGCCAGTTACCTAGCTCTGCCAAGCAGCTGTGTAGGATACACCAAGTGATAAAGCTCTACTTCTGTCAAACTGACAAGAGCCTGCTGTGTTTGTTCTGCTCTCATTCCCCAGAGCATGCCACGCATGAACACTATCCAGTAAAGCAGGTTGCAGAGCACTACAGGGTAAGTAATAACTCTGTATGCACTTTGAAATGTGGACGACCCTGTATCTGATAGGCAATAAGGCAAATACATTGATTGTTATTATTATTTTATGTAGGAAACAAATAGAATTTCTGAACACCATGTGCCAGGCACTATTCTGAAATCCAGGGATAAAGCGGTGAAGAAACTACACAACATTCTTGTTCTCCTGAAGTTTAAATTCTGTTGGGCTGAAAGACAGGAATGATGATGAAATTGATGAGAATTAGGGTGCTGGTATTTCAGTGTAAGTAACGTGCTGGATAAATCTCTAGTTTCAGTGACAGTCATTCATTGGCTCCTACAACTATGATTACGATGATCCTGTTCTAATTATAGCAGATTTAGTATCACTGGCCAATATTTTCTTATAGTGCCATAGGAAAACTGAGGGCTAATATTTCACAATTAAATATAAAGCAAGATTCACTTCTGAAAGTTGACCAGGTTACTACAATGTCAGTGTTAGATTCCTCAGATAATAGATTACATTTTCTAAATTTAGGCATTCTACTTTTGGTTGATCTCTCAGATTTATCAGTGAGTGTTCCCAAGGAAAATCACTGACATCTCTGCTCTCTTTACTGTTTGTCCTATGTTCATACCCTTCTATCTTCTTTTAAGTATCTGAAATGGACTACCTTTGCTTTTCTAGTACTCCAATTTATAGTTATTTTGCAGGAGAACCTTCTGATGCAAATGAAATCTATTTGGAAAAAGAAAAAAGAAACTCAGAGAAATATAAAAAAAGTGACCAACATATTCAGAGTATGGGAGGTAAGCAGTAGACCCTGTATCCACTGGAACCAGCTTGAGACAAATATCCTCGTAACTTACAGTGGAAGAACTTGAATTAAATCATAATGTCCCCTGAGTGAGTGATCAGAGAGAGCTACATACATGACCTTCAATATAGGATTTCATGTTGAATGAACCCAGTATGTAACTAAAAGATTTTTCCTGATTTTCTTGATAAAGCAATGTCTACCACTAATATTGTACTTTAGCAGGGACAAGGAAATGTAGTATCACAATACAAAATGCAATGGTCACTGGGATGGAGGTAAAAATAGAGTTCTGTAGGAGATTAATAAACTTTGAATGTTAAGAAAAGCTTCTCAAACAAGTAAAAATCATCCCAATGCTAATGTGTTAGTAGAATCTGTAAATTCATGGGTATTTATGACACAGACACCTAAGGGACAAGAAAGCTAAAAATGAGACAAATCATGGAACTGTCTGGGACCTGCAAGTAGCTCCTACTAATTAGTACATAGGGTATGAAGCAGGCAGTGAGAGTTATGGCTAGAAATGAAATTATAGCCATGGCAAGATTGTGAACGTCTACCTAAGCATTTTGGGTTGTATCATTCATTGATTCACATATATGAACATGGGAACCTGAAACTGAAGGTTTAGTAAAAATAAACTACATTTTTATTTTCAAAGAACTCAATCACTTGTAAAGAAGACATATCAACAGGCTATGGTATAGAATATGTCATTAAACAGAAATCTGTATACAGTGCTGTGAAAATACCAAAGGCAATAATAAAATTATCTTGATCATTTAGGATGGATTTCCTAATAAACCACTCATTCATAGGAGGGCATATGATGCATTGCTCACTGTTCTAGGCCCACAAAGAGATACAGAAATGGACAAAAAGAAGAAAATCACTGACCTCAGTTGGTTATAATCTAGTAAGAGAAGTCATGTAACAAAGAAAAAAGAGTAACATTTATAATACCTCACATTTGTAAAGTTCTTGGGAGAAAATTAGGGCAGGGATGTGTATAAATAGTACAGGCTTGGGGAGAAAGTATGCTGGTCAGGGAAGTCATTATGAACGTTACATCAGGGTAGAGACATAAAGAAGCGAAGGGAGTGAACCCGCAGTTCTCTGAGAACCCATCCTTCTGCAACAGGGAAAACAGAAGGTATGGTCCAAAAGTTTGGGTTCCCCCCTCACCCCCCCACCAAGTTCAAATATTGAAATTCTAACTCCCAAAGTGATGGTGTTAGGAGGTCGTGCCTTTGGGAGGTGATTAGGTCATGAAGGCAGAGTCCTTATGAGTGGGATTCTTATAAAAGAAGCCCTGTGGAGGCTTGCACCTCCTGCCATGTGAGGACACAACCAAAAGATGACTATCTAGTCAAGACATGGAAGCAACCTAAATATCCGTCAACAGATGAATGGATAAAGAAGACATAGTATACTTATACAATGGAATACTACTCAGCCACGAAAAAGGATGAAATAATGCCATTTGCAACAACATGGATGGACCTAGAGATTACCATATTATGGGAATCAAGTCAGAGAAAGACAAATATCATATATCACTTATATGTGGAATCTAAAAATAAAAATGATACAAATGAACTTATTTACAAACCAGAAATCGACCGACAGGCATAGAGAAAAACTTATGGTTACCAAAGGGGAAAGTGGGGGAAGGATAAATTAGGAGTTTGGGATTAACATATACACACTACTATATATAAAATAGATAAACAACAAGGACCGACTTTATAGCACAGGGAACTATATTCAATATCTTGTAATAACCTGTAATGGGAAAGAATTGGGAAAAAACGGAATACAGATATATGCATATATATATGTATGTATAACCAAATCACTTTGCTGTATACCTGAAATTAATACAATATTGTAAATCAACTACACTTCAATAAAAAAGATACATGCATATGATAAAAAAAATGAAAACCAAGTATGTGAATGTGCTTTGTAAAATGGAAAATATTTTAGGGCTTCCCTGGTGGCGCAGTGGTTGAGAGTCTGCCTGCCGATGCAGGCGACACGGGTTCGTGCCCCGGTCCGGGAGGATCCCACATGCCGCCGAGCGGCTGGGCCCCTGAGCCTGCGCGTCCGGAGCCTGTGCTCCGCAACAGGAGAGGCCACAACAGTGAGAGGCCCGCGTACCGCAAACAAACAAACAAACAAACAAAAGAATATATTTTAATCATTATTAAGCAAAAAAAAAAAAAAGATAGCAATCTAGGTAGTGGCTCTTACCATACACCAAATCTGCTGGCACTGATCTTGGATTTCCCACCTTACTGAACTGTGTGAAGTGTATTCTGTTATTTATAAGTTATGCTGTCTACTGTGCTTTTGTTATAGTAGCCCAAACAAACTAAGACAAGTATTCTATACATAACACGTAGACAATAGATGATGAGAGAAGAATAAAACCATCCAGATACATGATCTAATTAATCCAATGTCACTGCAGGGTTTTGTAAATCTACGGATGGTGATGATAGGAGCTGAATACCCTAAGGTATATCAATATCTCCAGGAAGAAAAGCAAAAACATTTAGAGATGTTGGCAATTGAAGGCAAGATTGTTTTTCAGCGACTCAGGAGAAACGTAGCCAGAATGGTTCATATGGGGAAACTCCTGAGAAGAATATATGAGGAGCTGAAGGAACTGTGCCTTAAAGCAGATGTGCACATGCTCCAGGTAAGGACTAAGGAAGGACGTTAGGGTGCTGAACACCAGCCTGCTTGGAAAGCATTTATATCCACTGGAGTTATATCCTTTTTGGCCTCCATTATTTTTCTGGTTCCAAAGTCCAGATTCTTCGTCTGCCTCTATGATAGCGGGTTTGGCTCCTCCAGTATAATCTGGAGACGAAGCATCACTTTTGCCTTGTATGGAAGAAGGCTAACTGTGTGGAAAGGTTCAAGTAAAAGATCCAGAAGAAGATCTCCCAAACCTTCTTGTTCTATTCCACTACTATGCAGTTAGCCTTCCATATCCCTATAGGTTTCACATCCGGGGATTCAACCACCTGCCGATGGAAAATATATATTTTTTAAAAACCCAGAAATTTCCAAAAAGCAAAACTTTAATTTGTCAATGCTGACAACTATTTACACAGCATTTACATTATATTAGGTATCATAAGTAATCTAGAGGTGATTAAAGTATACAGGAAAATGTGCATACATTATATGGAAATACTGTGCCATTTTATATAAGAGATTTGAGCATCCATGGATTTTGGTAGACAAGGGGTCCTGGAATGAACTCCCCTCATATACTCAGGGACGACTATATTTTCAGTTTCTGACCAGCTGCAAGAGAGCAGCTTGTGAGCAGATAATTTAACTTTGTATGTGTACTTGGTAATATGTGTGAATATGGGATGTATGCCTTCTTTCTGTTGTGAAGTTCTAGCTTTCACACCCTTATAAGAACTTTGGGGAACGCTGTGAATCCTGCTGTAGATTACAACAAAGTACAGCCATTCGTGCACGCGAAGAACATCTGCTGACTTTCAGTTTTATCAAGAGTATGATTTTATCAACTGTATGTAAATGTGAGACTGGGTTTCATCTTTTTAAGGATAAGGGAAATGGCAAATGATTTTCCCCAAGGAAGAAAACTGGAGATGGTGAATTTCCCAGTATAATCTCATATCCTCAAACTAGACTAAACAGGAGAGCTTGTGCTGAAAGCTAAGCCTTCCTTTCTTTCTCTTTCCAGGGTGTGGGAGACACAATGAACAGGTAAGTTTGCCCCTCTATTCAAATCATGGTAATTGTGATAGTGATCAGGTTATTTCTGTTGAGATGGACCCTCCCTTTTCAATGAGAAGTTTCTTTCTGTCTGCGTTTATGCCTTCCTTCTCTAAAAGTCTGCCAGGTTTTATATAGTCTACCCTTAGGTGAAAGTAAGGTTGAGGGCAGTGTAGTTTCAGCTGCAAGCCTTACTGTAGAAGTTGCAAAGGGACAGCTATTTTTCCTGCCCCTAATTTCCAAATTCTAATGATTGATATTTGAGGGTTATTCCTGGTCATCTATGGGGAAAGCAGGTGAGCTCAGAGAGGCAGCAGGTAGACGGATGCTGAGACGAGCAGTGAGGTAGAATCATCAAGAAAGAACATACGATAGTGCTGAGGTTCCATATGTATCAGATGGCAAATTCTAACTATTTGCCACCTATTAGATTTCAGGAATTAAATGAGCATTGCTGTGTGGATCCCCTAGGGAAGCTAGAAGAGAGGGAACAGACACAATTATGATTGAGGTGACATATTCTACTAAGAAGGATATGCTAAGAGCAGGGAAACAGATTGTAAAATATAATAACAACTGTAGTGTTCCTCCATCAGAGGAGTTAAATTCACACCCTTCAAACCTAATTATGAGGATTCTGATGCAGCACCATCAATGCACTGCTAATGATACCTTTGGGCCTGTTAGGAAGTGGGTCTTTTTTTGTTTTTTTTTTTTTACAGGAGTCAGTTAATGCAGCTGTACATTCCTCAGCCTATGGACCCAGAGCTCAGTACATGGGCCATCACTGGGATGTTGGAAAGGCTTAACAGCTTCCGAGGTAAGAGTCAGCTCTCTGGGTGAAGGCAGTAATATTTCCTTCACGACTAGATACATGCTGAAGATCTCTCTTCATTGCTCTGTCTGTTCTTTGCAGAGAACAGGGAAGCAGGCGCTGCTTTATAACTAATTTTATGGTTGATTGCTAATTATCAGTCAGAGAAAACTAACTGAAGCCTGTCAAAAACAATCAATCGATTATGACAGTTTCTTATATAGTTACTTGTGGTGAGTTAAAATTTAAAAAAAGAACACTCTGCCTTATAAAACTGCACATCCATTCAGTGTATTTCATCTTGTAGTTAACTGTGGTTATATGCAGATATTCAGATTCTTAGAATCACCTTAATGTTGTTATTTAAATGTTTATCTGAATATTGAATGTAATAATTACATTTGAAAAATCACAAGACCTTTAAAAAGCTTAAAAGTATTTTTATATACAAAAAGTACAACCACAAAACAAATTGAACCCATGATTTGTTGCATAGAGGGCCCCTTAAGACAAATGCAACTGAAGGGTGAGCCTGGCAGACAAAGGAGAAGCAGGCCTGAGATGGGATGAGTTGGATTCTGATTCAGCGGTGGCTCCATTAGAAATCCTAAGAGAGAAATCACTTCTAAAAAATGGCACAGATGGGTTTTTGGTTTATTTTATTTTTGCTTGCTTAAATGTTAAGCAATGTGATCACTATTTAGGACTAAAAATAAAAACAATATCATATTTAATATATAATGTACAATATATTTATTACTATTATATTTTAGTTTGTGAGAGTGGATTAATGAGAGGACTGAAGTGGATTAAGTGCCATTTTGCTATTTTCTTTTTTTGTTTGTTTGGTTTTTTTTTCTTTTTTTAATGTTTTGCTCTTTTCTTGACGTCTATGAATGAACTCCCCAGTTTTTGAGGAGTTAGTAAAAATAAGCCAGAGCCTGATATCCCACATCTTTATGTATTCTCAAAATTTTCCTTCATCTAGTTGTACGATTAGAGACTTTCTGGCTCTTTAGATAGACAAGAAGCCCTTCCTGTTCTTTCTCTGGATTTCCACTGAGACACTCTGTCTAGTTACCTTTGGTAAAGGGGTGTACTGGAGCTAGCTCGTACTGACACACTCATGGGAGCGAATTGTTACAAGTTCCAGAATTTTAGGAGCAATTACTAAATGGTGGCACCTTGAAAATGGTCATGGTGGGCTGGAATATTCCCAGCAAATAAGACAAACCAGCTTTGCTTTGTTCCAGAGATTTGGTTGCTAAACCTGTGCCACAATACCGCCACAGTTGTCCGTCCCTCAGGACTTTAAAACTCTGTTCTTTGACTTTGCTGTTTTCTTTTTACTGAAGTGTATGAAACGTTGGATCGTAAAGTAAGAAATTGTCATGTGGCTCTGACTGAAGACCTGAGACGTTTGCAGTGCAGTCCTGACCATC